TGCTGCTTGGCCTGCTGTGTTCATCCAGCCCTGCACCTTGTTGTCTCGGATTCTCCAGCATCTGCAGTTCCTACTATCCCAGCCTAATCTTTATTCCACTCTTTGTGTTCAGCCAACTTCCCTTTGAAATGGATCTGTTTAATTTATTCCAGCCGCTCCCTGTGGAAGCAAGTTCCATATTGCCAACACAATCTGTGTGATGAGGTTTCCCCTGAAATTCCTAATGAATTTATTAGTGACTATCATATATATGTCATTAATATTTTAAACTCCCCAACAAGTGGGGAAACACCTTCTTTATCTTAAGCATGTTCACAATGGCAAAAACCTCATTCAGGTCACATCTCATCTTTCTCCTCCCAGTCTTTCTGACGTAACCTCTCAGCTCTTGCAAATATTTTTGCAATTTTTTTTCTTTTTGTATTGTAGAAACCAAAACTGTGTACTACACTCAAGTTGTAGTCAAACCAAGGTTTGCTACAGGTTTAACATGACACTACAGTTCTTTTTAAAGAAAAATACTGTACTGCAGATGCTGTAAATCTGGAAATAACAGTATATTTTAAGGCAGGATGGTGAATGGCTTGTGGCTGACGGTATTTCCATCTGCTGCACTTACCCAGAACCAGCGAGCAGAAACTGATAGACAAGTTCCGCACCCATGAAGACAGCCTCAACCGTGAGTTTGGGGTTCATGTCGCGCTACATGTGACCCCACCGCACTGTTCCGTAAAATCTTCATTACTGTCCTGGTTTGACACCATCGCCTTGATAACTCGTTATGAGCTCTTTACCTTAATTGGTTTGTACAGTTTTGGATGACTTGTTACTTTGGTTAGAACCTTGGCATGCAACACTTATACCTAGCATGTTATTCCAGCCATTTGGTTTGTCTCCAGCACCACTTTATTTTTCATTTTTTGTAATTATCTCTCTGGCTCAATTAATCAGATTATAGGTCATCCCTTCACTTGTTATTCAGACGCTGACACCTTACTCACACCGTCTGACTCTTGATCACCAGCAGAGACCTATTATTCAGCTTGTCAACCCTCCACTCACACCATTTTTATGATCTTTTAGTCTCTCTGAATATAAAGTCTATGCCTGGGTGGTCTCTTCACTTTACGTGACTAAGGGGCAGTGCCATGAAAGCTTGTGATTTCAAATAAACCTGTTGGACTATAACCTGGTGTTGAGACTTTTGGCCTTGTCCACCCCAATCCAACACTGGCATCTCCACATCTTGTCCTTCTAGCTGGTGGAGGTTGCAGGTTTGGAAGGTGCTAAGACAACTCCAGGAGTTACTGAAGTTCATTTTGTAGGTAGTGCACACTGCAGATGCAGTGCATTGGTGGTGGAGAAAAGGAGTATTGAAGCTAGTGGATGTGGTGCCTGTGAAGCAGGCTGTTTAGTGTCAAACTTCTTGTGTTGTTGGGGCTGCTCTCATCCAAGACCCAAGTGGGGAGTATTCCATCATACTCCTGACTTGTGCCTTGTAGATGATGGACAGACTTTGGGGAGTTAGGTGAGTTACTTGCTGTAGTGTTCCCAATCTCTGACCTACTGTGTACCCACTGTATTTATATCCTGTGATTCAGTGGTGGTAATGCCATTGAAAATCAAGAAGTGGTGGTTAGATTCTCTCTTGTTGGAGATACCATGGTCTGGCATTTGTGTGGCATGAACATCATTACTTGCCACTTGTTAGCTCAATAATTTATTTTCATTCAAGCATTTTATCGCTCCTCCCTGGCCCAGTCATATTGAACCATTAATCTCCCTTTTATTTAAGTCTTATTCTATATTCTCATGATGGAGACATGTAATTGTATTACCTCTATATCACTCCCTGTCAAGGTTCCTTATGCAATGCCGAGAGAAATTACCTAGTATTTTAAAATTTACAAATAACAGTCCAATTCAGTTTGGCATGTTAACTCTTTTTCTTTTTCTCCACTTGTTTTGCTAGCATTTTATTTTTCAGTATTTAAAAGGATAGGATTTGGAAGGACAAATTCTTTATGTAGCACAAGTATTGTATTTCAGTAATGAAATTCATACGCACAATTATAAATAAATTGAAACTAGAAACATACACGTTGGCATGTGACTACGTGTGAAATGAAAAGGAAATGGTTTTAAGATAAAAATACTTTTCAAATATATACCTAATAACTTGTAATGACTCTTTTTCTATCTTAAGAGGGGATTAAAGTATTGTCACTTCGAATAAATTTTAAGTGACAAATGAGTCACTATCATCCAACATTGGCAATGATTTTGTTCATTTGTTTAACAGCATAACCACTGGCTAGACCAGCATTTATATGTTCCTAATTACCCTGAGAGTGATAATGGTATCTGCAGATGTGCCATAATGCTGCTGGGAAGGGCATTCCAGGATTTTGATTCCACAATCATGAAGAGACAGTTCACTGTAGACGTTATTATATCTCAACTCAGTCTGACCAAGCAAATAAAGCATAATAATCATCATATTCACCAGTTCTGAGGAAGGGTCACCACACCCAAAATGTCAACTCTGATTTATTCTTCACAGATGCTGCCAGACCTGCTGAGCTTTTCCAGCAACTTCTGTTTTTAATCATATTCACCAGTGTAGATTGATACTATGTGTTGAATCATTTCTTAGGGCAACACCCAGACCAGAGTGGATTGCCTTCTGAGGAAAGGCTAGACAGACTTGGGTAGGGATTCTCTGGAATTTAGAAGAGTCAGAGGCAACTTAATTGAAATATAAAAGAGCCTGATGGGACGTGACCAGGTGGATTTGGAAAGTATGTTTCCTCTTGTGGAAGTTTCTAGAACTTGGGTCATAGTTTAAAAATAAGAGGTTGCCCACCTAAACACAAAACAGAAACAGCAGTAGGTCATTTAATATTATCATGGATGATCACCCGACTCTGTACCCTGTTCCCGCTTTCTCCCTGTACAATTTGATCCCTTCATCTCTAAGAGCTATATCTTACACCATCTTGAAAACATCCAACATTTTGGCTTCAACCATAGGATTCTTATCTCAAGATGATTGAGTCTTTTCAGAACTCCCTTCCTCAAAAAGCAGTGGATGCAGAATCTTTAAATATTTTTAAAGGCAGAGGAAGTGTGGTTCTTCATTACCAAGGAGATGAAAGATTAATCGGGGGATTCGGGAATGTAGAGTTGAGGTTAAAATCAGATCAGCCATCATTCTATTTAACAGTGGAGCAATCTCAAAGGGCCAAGTAGCCTCCTAATGTTCCTTGTTCGTATGTTCACAGTCAACCTGTCTGGTTTAAATTTAAATAAAACCTAGCTATTAATGTCAATCAGCATTAATGAGTACATTCACCAGATTTCACTTGCCAACCACACTCTCCTCTTATTTGGTTAAATGTTTTCCCCTTGAATCTGTGTTCTTGCAAAATGTCCTGATACGTGCAAGATGAAACATTTTGTCAAAACATATCTTTTAAAGGCTCTTGTGAAGATTTGTAGCTCAGGTTATTGGCTTGCTTGCCGAGCTGGCTGGTTATCACAGACGTTTCCTGACCGTGCTAGTTAACATCAGTGCGGCCTCCAATGAAGCGATGTCGTTCTACTTTGCTTGGTATTTATATGATCCAGTCTGTTCCGTTGGGTTTTGTCATTTCTGGTTCTGTTCTGCATGGGTTTGTATATGGGCTGCACTGATGTTACCTAGCACAGTGACGAAATGTCTATACAATAACTAGCCAGCTCGGCGAGCAAGCCAACAACTGCATGTCATTAAAGCTCATAAGTTGCACTCTCTATCCAATAGGCTCTGCCCCTGTCCAACACTCCTGTTTGTCATAATCGTTTTTTTTAAAAAAAGAGACGAATCAACAGCTGACTGATGGAAGGTACCGAAAGGAAAGATTTCATATTAAGAATATTACTGCAACAAACAAATTGAAATCAACTTAACATTAAACAGGCCTTTAATAAAGTCAGGGCAACATGTCAGACAAGAGACATAACAAGGTGTAGAGCTGGATGAACACAGCAGGCCAAGCAGCATCCGAGGAGCAGGAAAGCTGACGTTTCGGGTCTGGAGCCTTCTTCAGAAAAGAAGACCCTCCTGTTTAAAATCCCCCCCACCCACACGGTAACTGATTATTTACCTGCACAAAGAAAATAATTAGCATTTCAAAACTAAAATAAAAAAGGCACAGATAGAGTGCTCGGAGACTGAAACTGCAAGCAGATAAGAGTTTAAAATGACTTAATTGGACATGAACAGATTCACTTACACTCTGAGCTCAACAAATAATTACCTTAAACGATGGAGTTACCTGCGAAATAGTGTCACTAGGTTCTACCAAAGTCTCTAACCAAGATTTGCCCCTTCTCTCCACATATGGGGGGAGTTGATTTGAGGTCTACCAGAAATGACAATGGTCAATGAAATGCTGTTTTATTGCTCAAAACTACTTTACTGTTCCAAAGGAATTGATTTTAGTTTAGCCCTGAGTCGGTGTGGGACTGAGTGAAATCAATCGAATCGCTCCTGCTAGTTATCTCAGATTCTAAAGTTAATGCACATTTAAGCTAACATTCTAACCTTATAAAGCATTTATTTTACAACAGCCTTTGGTTAGGTCTTCTATTGCCATAGTTATCACATTGTTTAATAGTTAAATTTACTGGAACTTGAAGGTTTTAAAATTAGATAACATTTGATGAATGTTTCCTGTGGACTTGGCTGAGTTTCAGCCACAGCTAAAACTGTTTCAGGCCGACAGCAATCAGTACATTTAAAGCTAAGACCTTTTGTGAATTAACTTCTTGATGTCAACTGCTCACCTGTTCCATTCCCATACCGCGTTCCCACCACCAACAACCTCCCCACACCCGCGGCCATTTGTAACAATTACAGGCTGTGCCACTGTTTGTTCTTGTTTCTGCCTCTTGATCCAGATATCCAGAAAGATGGTCAGAATCACACTGTGCAGCAGTCGTCTTCTCATTAGATGCTCAGAGCTTCTCAACCTAGTAGTAAGTGGGAAAATGTGCAGAAAGCATCCAATGCTCCTAAATAAACTGCAAAAAAGAGTTCTTGAATCTACTGAGCTGCTTAAGTTCACTTTGCATTCTACATAACAATATTCACCGAGATCAACATTAATAGCATGTGTACCCCATTACTCAGTGGCGTTTGAGGCTGATAAATTTTTGATGTAATGGGCAAGTGGGAAAGCGGATTTAAGGCAAATCTGAAGGAGGGTCACTGGACTTGAAACGGTAACTCTGTTTCACTCCCCAGAGATGCTGCCAGACCTAAGTTTCTCGAGCAATTTTGTTTAAGATAGATCAAACTTGATCATATTGGCCTAACCCTATTCTGTTTTTATGACAGAAGTAAATCAGCAGAATTCAGGTTTGTTTGATACAAGAAGGGCTGTTTTATAATTTCAATCCTAAATATTCTAGCATTTATATTTGCTGATCTGCAGCTAATGGGAAAAAAATAATATTTTGGAACGATTTTGACATTTGTGTTCAATGTGATAGAAGGGAAATTAAATATTTCAAGCTCAAATTCAGAAAAGACCTTGATTAAAATAAGTGACAAAGAATGAATTTCTTTGAACCTTCTAAAGCAGCTATAACAAGCAAACGCCCCTCAAAAATTTCATTTAAATATCAATGAGGATCACTAAGATGTATAATGGGGATTGGCAGTGGACAGTTAAATGAGAATGAAATACAATATAACGAGCTGGACTTTGGGGCTGTAATAAAAGAGAAGATAACTTGATTGGGGTAGCAATTCTGCAGCAAGGGAGTCAGAGGAAGTGAAACTGATGCAACCGATAATAGAAAACTGAAACGCCTGGTTAATTAACAAACTACTGAAACCACTAAAATAAGTATGTCCCACTCCCCCGCACTATATTTTTTACACCAATCATTGCCAAAACAGAAAGTTAGGTCCAAATGTATTGTAGGAATCAGACATATATAAAATGGAGGAATCTTTCTTAGTTCAAGATTACAAGTAAAAAGGTATGAAACTTACTGAATTCTGTATTCCTCGTGACTCAACACCTTTTAAGATTAAGGACTTAACACATTTAAGGAGCAAATGCACTCACTCAATTCACAAAGGTTCCCTAAAAATTCCATTCTTCAGAAATGTTTGGTAAAATAGATGGAATCCAAGGCAGTTAAAGGCAAACCAAATGGTTACTTGAACTGTTTAAATAATATTTAAGAAAAAACAAATTAAATCAAGTTCTAAAAAAGCGTGATCAATTCAAACAAAGGTTAAATCAAATATCTATTTTAAAATTCCATTTTAAAGAAATCGTAATTGTTTTGTTGGACTTTTACAGAGACCCAGAACAACTTATACCTGGTTTAAATCTCCATCCTCTTTGTAATCTATATGAAGCTGCTGTTTCAAATTTTAGGCATGGATTTTGGGAAAATACTTAAAATGATCATTTTCTTCTCTCACACAGCTAACTCTTTATTCCATTCTACATGAGTTTAGATGAGTTGATGTTACTACAGAAAAGCAGATGGCTGCTTGGCCATTTTCCCCCAAAAACAAGGTCAACCGTGCTATCCTTTCCCCTCACAAAGAACATAAATTGTCTCCACATTTTATTTAAAATGAGGACAAATTTAAAGATGAATACTTCTGAATTGCATATGAAAAACATATAACTGCATCTGAAAATAATATGGCTACTCTCTTACAAGTTTGCTAATACTAGCTTGCTACTTTTGAAAAGTTAATATACACAACATTTCCTAAAAAAGTTACTATATTCTGTAGGGTTTTAATTTATGTTAAACTGATCCTGACTAATTTCACAGATGGAAAAAAAAACTTTCAAAACTCACTTTATACAGATCCAAAGATTATTTCACCCTACCACAAGTAACAATTTCAAATGAACTGCACAGATCAGCTGTAAAATAATGTAGTCTTCCAAATGATGAAACATTGGATGTCGATTCAGAACCACTTTTGAGCACAAACTGGAAAATTTCAACCTGTGGCATTTTTTTCTCACCAAGTTTTCTGAAAGCCAACTGGAGCTGACATTGTACAGCAGGTGCTGGATATTAATAAGTAGTCACTAGTTTGCTGATGTTTCCATATCTTTATGTAAAGTAATGAGGCTTCTTCACATTTATACCATATTCAGAAAGAGCAGGGATTAAATCCTCCATGGTGAGGGTGTATTTTTTATCCTAAAAATAACAAAAATGTATTTAAACAACAATATAGACAGCAGAACATAACAGCTCAGAGCACATGGCTCTCTGAATTCAAATACAAATTATTTCACATTTAAAACTAGAGGGCTTTTTTAATTTTCTTGCTTCATCAACAGTGAACAATGCCAGAAAAGGATGTCGAGAGTAATTCTGGGGACAAATGGTATTTTAAAAGAAATATGAAATGGAAACAAACAGGGGCTGATTCAATGTCGGTAATGTGGAATTGGTATATTTTATTAAGTGAGGGGATGGTTTGCTCAGTTGACTAAGATGGTTAGCCTGAAACTAACAATAATGCCAACAGCACACATTTGATTTTTGTTGTGGCTGAGGCAAACTTGGTGACTGCCTCCTCTATCATGTCCCTAAGAGTAAAAAAAAACTGCTCAGGATGAAGTATCAGTATAAAGAGAACCAAGAATCTGTTTTTAGGAAGAGCACATGAGACATGTGAAATGATTCATGTTGGAAGAACAGGGAGAGAGAAATATAATTAGAATTAAAGGTAAAATTCTAAAGGGAATGCACAGGCAGAGGGACCTGGATGTAACATAAATCATTGAAGATGACATGACAGATTGAGAGTCCGGCTAATAAATCATACAACACCCTTCTCCTTAGGTTCTATGCCTTAAGGAAGGTCCCTAGTGATTAGCTGCTGAACCATAATTAAGCGCCATGAATTTTACAAAGAATAGAGTGAGGAGGCAAGCCCCAAGTGTACCTCAGCCAGAACAGGAATAAAACCTCGAGCTGTTGAAACAAACCTGACTCATGTGTTAGCTGTCTAGCTAAGCCAACCAACTCTACAGCAGAACTCCCACCATTTCCTATGAAGAGCTGACACTATGGGCCAAAAGGCCTCCTTTGGTGGTGTCACAATTCTCTGTGAATTAATGAATGTCTTAGGAAATATATTTTGAACGGATGATGCTGATTGATTTGGAACTGTAGATAGATTTGGGGATTCAAATAACAAATTTAGGGGTTGCAGTGCTGTAGTGTCATGGCAAGTCTCATGGCACACGGTGAAATACAAATTCAATAAACAAAATCTAAGCAAAAGCTAGCCTAATGACAAAGATGTATCTGTTGTCAATTCCCATAAAAATTAAATGGGTCCTTCAGGAAAGGAAATCTGCTATCTTTACCAGGTCTACCTACATGTGACTCCAGACTCTTAACTGCCCTCTGAAGTGGTTTTACAAGCCACTCAGTTGTAAAGGGTAGTTACAAAGTCTAAAGAAAGGAGTAAGATTGGGCAGACCACCTGACACTGACATCAGCAAGTCAACCCTGCAAAGTCTTCCTTACTAACATCTGGGGGCTTGTGCCAAAGTTGGGAGAAATTTCTTGCAAACAGGTATTGCAACAGCCTGACATTGTCTGTAAAGGCTAACTATGTCCAAGACATCATCAGCACCATCCGTGGGTTTGTCCTATTCCACCAGTAGGATAGAAGTGGTGAGACAATGATATTCAGTCAGGCCTTGTCCTGGCAGTCTGCAACAGTGACAAGAGAGAACCCAACAATTGCCCCTTAACATTCAATGGCATTATCATCACTGGATCCCCCACTATCTACATGCTGGAGATTATTATTGTCCTAACCGAATAGGACTAGCCATGTAAATACTATTGCTACAAGAATTGGTTAGAGGCTAGGAACACTGCAGCAAGTAACTCACTTCCTGTCACCACAAAGCCTGTTCACCATTTACAAAACACAAATCAGAAGTGAGATGGAATACTCTCCACTTACCTAGATGTGTGCAACTCCAATGGCTCTCAAGAAGCTTGGCACCATCCAGGACAAAACCACCCACTTGGTTGTCACCATACCCTCAAACATTCACACCCATCAGCACTGACAGTGGCAGCAGTGTGTACCATTCACAAGGTGCACTATGATAACTCACTAAGGTACCTTTGACAGCACCTTCCAAACCTGTGACCTCCACAACTGAAGAACAAGGACAGCAGATCCACAAAAATGTCACAGCCTGCAAGCTCCCCTTCAAAGCACACACTCCATCCTGATTTGGAACTATGTCACCTTTTGTTCACTGTCACTGGGTCAAAATCCTGGAATTCCATTCGTAACATCACTAAGTGTCCCTACACTCAAGGGACTGCTGCAATTCAAGATGGCAGCTCACCACCAACTTGGCCCAATCAGTGATGCCCACATTCCAGAAACAAATAAAAAGTAAATAAGTAGACTACCTTAAGTGGCTAAGGTAATTAGTAAAAAGCTAATGAATTACACTGGGGCCATAAGGGGACAAGAGTGCAGTACAGATCTGCTAGGATACTATCTATTACAAGTGGTACAAATATGAATTTCTTGAAAAATCAGAATCACTCTCATTGGAAGAAGAGATTGAGGGCTGATCAGATGCAAGTATTGTGAAGTGATTGTTTCTAACCACGCGTTTCCAATTATTTGATGTATCTAGAATGATGGACATTTACACTAAATATTTATAACAAAGGAAGAAAAACATTTTTTCTAAAGAGGACATCAACATTGAAATACATTATCAGATATAGTGAATAAAGGAGATACCATCTCAACTTTTAAGAATAGATTAAATTGAGGTTGAAGGAAAAGACAATAGAGAGATTGGAAAAGACAGGCCTATGTGATTAGGATATTGGTCAGACAGAAGATGAATTGAACTGAACTGATTCGGCCAATGAATATACCTTCATTTCTTAGTTTCTATGAGTAGCCTAAGAAATGGACGTATCAACACAACTGTTACTATGGCTTCATACTTAATCATGTTTGTGGACTTCGAGGTTAAAGGATTGCAGAAATCAGCTTTTTTTTAAATAAAAGGTAACAAATGGATAATAGAAATTAGGCATTTTGGTAATCGCTTATGTTGTATAACTCCTTGTTTACTGATGACCTGGGTTTACAACTGCTACGTGGAGGTTTATGCTTTGGATATTGTTTGGAATAGTTGGTGACCAGTCTCCTATCTTAGCCCTGCTGATTCTAAAAACATCTCGTGAATCCTGATTGTCCCCTTGAAGAGCGAAAAGGAGACTTCTTGATCATAGAATCCCTACAGTGTGGAAACAGGCCCTTTGGTCCAACAAGTCCACACCGACCCTCAGAACATCCCACCCAGACCCATTCACCTAATCTACACATCCATGAACACTATGGGCAATTTAGCATGGCCAATCCAACTAGCCTGCACATCTTTGGACCGTGGAAGGAAACCGTGGAAGGAGAACCCAGAGGAAACCCACACAGACATGGGGAGAATGTGCAAACTCCATACAGACAGTCGCCCGAGGCTGGAATCGAACCCGGGTCCCTGGCGCGGTGAGGCAGCAGTGCTAACCACAGAGCCACTGTGCCACCCAATATTGTACTTCTTAAGCAAAGTGCACCTGCCAAAACCCCAAAGACACCTGTCGATGTTTGATGACACCTGTCGATGTTTGATGACACCT